GTGATGCAATTCTGCTGTTGGTTCGAGGTCACGACTATCTGGTCTCATATGTATGATGCTGTTTGATTGCTGAAGTTCGCTTTTGCTCATCTTCCGTGATTTGGTATCGGAGCTGTGGAACGTTGCGCTCCTCTGGCGCTTGTCTTCTGCCTTATGCGGTACATACATGCGGTCTGCTTGGTGAGTGTGACCGTGGGTGGTGTGTAGTGAGGAGGGCGGAGACAGGATTAGGCGACCCAGGAGGTGAGGGGATCGCCTGGAAGGCTACGGTGCGTATATTGGGTGTTCGCAGTGTGATGAGAACTATCTGATGGTTGGTTGATGCTGAGGTGGAACGGCGAGACAATGCGGGCTGTGCCGATGCAGTGACTGGTCATCGCAATCGCCATCAGGTCATCTGGTGAGAATATCTGTGGTTGGGGGCAGCTATATTGAGGTACGTTGCTCTTAACCTTATCTACCCTCTTCATCACTTCTTACTGTGAGGTTGTGAGTTCCTTCTTGAGAGTCCTCTCATTGTGAGGAGTCGAGTGCGCTCAACCTTGAGAGTCGGCATACTTCCCGTGGAGCATCTGGAAGGAGAGGGCGGTGCTTTCTGAAGGGCCCTGGATGGAGCACTGGGTCACGGTCACCATGCCAACCCACCGGGAGTAGAGCACGCATGCGTTGCTGCTTTGTCCTTGTCTGCTTGCTGCGCTCATAGAAGGGGTACTGAAGGGCAGTCGAGCGCTATGGGAGAGACGAGTACCGGGCGTCTATGAATAAACACCGGCAGGGGAAACCATTGGCTGTGATCGTCGTCCTGCTGCGACGTAAAATAATTTCTGATGTCACTTGGGGGCGGAAGTTAAATTGCCTCTTGATCACCCAATGGTGTAAGGCTCGCTGCACGCGAGGATAAACAAGGTGCAGGGCTGGCCAGCTCAGCAGTTACTCGGGGCACAGGGGTGGGCCGTGTGCACACCTTTAGTCACGCACGCTACCGGATCGCTCAGGGACGCTGACGTCAAGCGACAATCAAGTGGGATTGGGGGAAAGGGTAGATTCCAGGTGACAAGTTTGAGAAAGATTCCATGTTGTGAACAGACCCAAACAAATGACATTATTTTTATTTTGATTAGTTAGGTATACAGCCATTGACATCTGACAGACAGCATAGTTTAGAACTGTTCATTGTTCATTGTGCTTCTGTTTGCAGACTAATCAAAGTAAAGTAGTGTTATTTGTAGGAATCTGCACTTATCTGTTGGACCCAAATGTATCTACTCCGAATTAGCCACTAATTAATTATTTATTTATTTTCAATTGGTATGGGCATTACGCTGTGGTAGGTACTTATTGTAACCTAGTGCAGATTGTGCTCAGTACTGTAGCTTATGAGCGATAGGGAGGAACAGCAATCGGACGACCGGATCCTGCGATCAGCAAGACGCCCAATTGCCCACCTGGCATTAGGACCAGAGGGCGACAGATACCTGTTCCGCCAGCATAGGGAGAGGCTGCAGCAGCAGCAGAGAGCTAGGGAAGCAGAAGCCAGCAGAGCTCTAGCAAGTGAAGCCACTGCTTCAGTAGCCATGGCTAGCGCTGCACAGCAATCCTCTCAGGCTGGGGGTTCAGGAACTATAGGGTCAATTGCGGCGCAGACCCAGAGTCAGTCGGCTGGCGTAATGGCAAGCCAGTCAAATGTGTTGTCACCCGAGGAGATTGCCATACAGCAGGCGGCCCTGCAAGAGGCACAACTACAGAAGGCTTTAGGGGAGATAAAGGCGGAGAAAGAGAGAATGATTAGAAGAGTAGCCAGGATGCAGCGAAGAGAAGCGGACGTTAGGCAGTTAGAGGAAATGGATCTGACCAACATGGATGCGGATGTGAGGGTAGTTCGGACGGCCCTGCTAGGAGTCATAGAGATACAAGACCATCAGACTGCTATCCTCCAAGACATTCAGCAGAGTCTAGCCTGGCTGGTTGGACGATTGCAGGCGGCTCCATTACCGTCAGGGCCTGGTGCCTGGCCCGTGGCACATCCTCCTCCCCCAGTCCCACCGGTGATCGGGGTATCCCCATATGTAGCCCCATCATCGGTTGCTATCGTTTCCCTGGGCATGCCGCTATCAGGAGGGTTATCAGCAGGACCTAATGTCCAGATTCCTGTACAGTCAGTGTTATCCCAACCTCCGTCGCAGGTTGCCATTAGTGGGCAATCTGTTGTCCCGCAACCTGTGCAGCCGCAGGGGACACAGCCCCAACAGCAACAGGTGCAACAGCCTGTTCCCCAGAGTCCACAACCAAGTGTGGGACAGATGCAGGGACAAACACAGTGGGTTCCGAAGACGGCAATTGCTGCTCCGAAACCCTTTTCAGGGGACAAGAGGGGCGAAGACCTCGACACGTGGTTGAGGGCTGTGCCAGTCTATGTGAAGTGTAAGTTGACCTTGCCGCACGTGGAAGTGCTTGTGGCTGCCTCCTATCTAGAGGGGAGTGCAGCAAGATGGTTGAGTGGGTTAGTGCAACTACAGGGATATGGGCATGACTTCCGCGCTTGGGCAGCCAGCCAAAAGTTGGATGACTTTCTCAAGTTGGTGGAGGAAAGGTGGCATGATCCTCAGGAGGCTCAAAAGGCCACTGACGCGATCCTGACTTTGAGCTCTTGTTCGTTGAAGTCAGTTAGGGAGGCCACAGACGCAGTTGAGCGTCTGATCTGTGTCCCTGGGGTCCGCTATGACCCCCAAGTCTTACTAACAACTTACCTGAGGTGTCTGTCGATGCCAATCATGAATCAGTTGGCAGTAGAGGCTAACATCAATGTGCACAACTTTCCATCGCTCAGCAAGAAGGCCCTAGACCTTGAAGCTAAGATAGGGCATGGACATAGCCCATCGACGGACGGTAGGAAAAAGACACTGCCTCCCAACTGGAAGGCGAAGGGGCGCATTATGCTCGTCGACAATGATGGTTCAACCATCGAATTGGACGACGACCCCCAGTTGGGAGCTGGTTCAGAGGCGGGCAGCGTAGAGGCTTCAGAGGGTGGAGTAGTCGCTGCCGTAACACAACAGAAAGGTAAGGGGACTGGTAGACGCCGAGGAGGCTCCCGGTCTAGGAATCAAGTTGACCCCAATGCTCCTCCATGGGAGAAAGCGGGTCTCACTGAGGACGTGTGGAGAGACCGGGTATTCGTTGTGGTCAATATGGCCATAATCAATTCAAGTGCCGAAATAAGAAGGTTACCGAGAAGATCCCGCCTACTATGGGGCAGGCGGTAGGATCCTCCGCTCCCGTTGGTAGGGTCGAGGTGGTGGATACACCCTCACCATGCCCAAGCTACGGACTCCCCCGTCGTCCCGCAAACACATTTGGACCCATCGACCCTCTGTTCGATGAATGTGTTCGAGTCCTTAGAGGAGCTAAAGGAGGAGTGGTCTAGATTAGACCCACGAGCTTCTTGGACGGCACTAGTCAAAACTCCTAAGGCTGAAATGTTCGTCAATGAGGTAGTCATTGGCGGTCGCAAGACCGGGGCCTATTATGACACTTGCTCGACGAGGAATTTCATTAGTCGCGTGCGTTGAGAGGCTGCGCTTACAGGGGCGAGTGCAGCGCCTGAGTCGACCTGTGGAGTCGACCTGTGCCAACAAACTACGCATGGTAGTTAACGACTACCTTCAGGACGTTAAGTGCCTGTTCCCGTACGCAGGAGGGGAATTGAGGCATCGTGTCTCATTCCTAGTGAGCGACGATCTCCCCATGGACATCTTGTTAGGTATGGACTACCTCTCGGTTGCACAGCCCCAGTTTGACTAAGATCGAAAAGTGGTCAAATACACTTTGCCAGGTGGAGGGACCGCCAGATTGCACAAGTTCAAAGCTAGTAGTCTGATCGAGTCCCATGGATGCATATGTGCGGCCGCGTTCTATAATTATTATAAGCAAAATCAGGAGGAGGGTATGTATCTAGTTTATGTCTCTGCTGCAGGCGAGCCGGTGAAAATGCTGCCGCAGATCCAGGGAGTAGTTGCTAAGTACCCTGATCTATTTGAAGAGCCGACAGGGGTTGTAGAGAGGGAGGTTGTCCACGCGATAGAGATTATGTCAGGGTCTAGCATCCCGAAGGGTAGGATCTATCGGATGTCTCCAGGCGAGCTCGATGAGCTACGCCGACAACTCAAGGAACTCGTAGAGAAGGGTTGGATCCGGCCGAGTGTCTCTCCTTATGGGTCTCCAGTTTTATTCGTGCCTAAGAAGAAGGAGGGAACTCTAAGGATGTGCATTGACTATAGGGGCCTCAATGCCATCACTGTCAAGAACAGAGAGCCCGTACCGTGCATCGACGATTTGCTAGATAGCGTGCAAGGGTGTCGGTACTTCAGTAAGATAGATCTGAAGTCCGGGTACCATCAGATTGCAATSCGGCCCGAGGATCAACACAAAACCGCCTTTCAGACCAGGTACGGTCTGTACGAGTTTGTGGTGATGCCTTTCGGCCTTTGCAATGCTCCTGGCACCTTTCAGCATGCTATGAATCGGATATTCCATGACTACTTGGATAAGTAAGACCATCGAGGAGCACGTTGCACACTTGGACAAAGTCCTTAGTCTCCCGCAACAGCACAAGTTCAAGATCAACGGTGAGAAGTGCGAGTTCGGCCGCAACCATATCTTGTACTTGGGTCATGAGATTTCCGCGGATGGGTTAAAGCCCGATGACGTGAAGGTGGCCAGCATTCGTGATTGGCCACGTCCTCAGTCTGTGACTGAGATGAGATCTTTCTTAGGGATGACAGGCTACTAGAGGACTTTCGTAAAGAACTATAGCATAGGGGCCGCCCCTTTGACTGATCTAACCCACCTTGACACCCCATGGGAGTGGACAGAGAAGTGCAAGGCTGCTTTCAGACATCTGAAGCATGCGTTGACGCACTATGAGGTCTTGAAACTTCCCGATCCTAACAAGCCATTTGTGGTTACCACAGATGCTAGCCAATATGGTATTGGTGTCGTGCTTGCGCAGCAGGAGGGGCCAAAGTTGAGGCCAGTTGAGTACATGTCCAAGAAAATGCCGTCTCAGAAGTTGGCAAAGTCCACCTATGAGAAGGAACTCTATGCGGTGTACAAGGCTCTGACCCATTGGAGGCACTATCTCCTTGGGAGGTTCTTCATCCTTAGGACTAATCATCAGACCTTGAGATGGATGAGAACACAACCGGTCCTCTCTGACGCTCTAAAGCGTTGGATCGAAGTCATTGAGCAGTGTGACTTTGACCCGCAGTATCTGAAAGGGGAGTACAACAAGGTTGCTGATGCCTTGTCGCGTAGACCTGATTTCTCAGGTGCGCTGATAACTGAGTTCGATTTGACGGAGGATGTAACTCGCTCTTTGGTGGGAGCCTATCGCGAGGACCAGTTTATGTCTGAGATCATACGCAGACTAGAGGCGAAGGAGAAAAAGACTTTTGTCGAGTTTGAGTTGGTCAATGGCTTGCTGTTTCTTGAGAAGGCAAGGAATAAACGATTGTGTGTTCCAAATAGAGAGTCTTTGCGTAGTTTATTTCTAGGTGAGTGCCATGATGCCACCGGCCATTTTGGGTATAAGAAGACAGCAGCAAATTTGCTGCAGCGGTTCTGGTGGCCCACGATGATGAGAGATGCCCAGCTGTACGTGGAGACTTGTCAGGTCTGTCAGCGGGACAAGCCACGTACTCAGGCTCCTCTTGGGCTTCCGGAAAGGCCAGGTGAGAGCCTGTCCATGGACTTCATGGATACGCTGGTCACCAGCAAGAGTGGGATGAGACACATCTTCGTCATCGTGGATAGGTTTAGTAAGTATGCTAGGTTAGTAGCCATGCCGGAGACTGCGAAGACCGAGTACGTCATCAGATTGTTTAAGGAGAACTGGGTCAGGGATTTTGGTTTGCCCAAATCCATAGTGAGTGACAGGGATGTCCGATTCGCTAGTGAGTTGTGGAAGGCCGCTGCTGCGGAGCAGGGAACCCAGTTGCAGATGACTTCTGGGAATCACCCAGAGGCCAACGGCCAGGCTGAGCAACTGAACGGCACTGTACAACACCTGTTGAGGCATTACATCAAGCCCAACCAGGTGGACTGGGATGAGAAGCTTGCTCTCATCGCCAGCCTGTACAACAACGCTGTACATAGCGCTATCGGGGTGAGCCCAAACAGCTTACTGTTGACTTTCAAGCCTTGACTGCCCCTAGACTTCCTTCTTCCTGAGAATCAGTCAACTGCTGCACCAGGTACCTTAGAATTTGCCTATCAGTATGAACATAAGATGCAGCAGGCGGTAGAAGGCGGCAATGATAGAGTATGAGAATAAACACCGCCGCCCTTCTATGTTTCAGGTTGGGGACAGAGTTTGGGTTAAGTCCTCAGAACTGGGACAGGAGTATGGGATTTCCCGCAAACTTATGCCTCAGTACTTTGGACCTTGGGAAGTCTTAGACGTTGTTGGGACTGATCTGGATGGGCCATCTTATGTAGTACAGATCCCTGGTCATCTCCGCACTTACCCTGTCTTTCACGCCTCCAAACTTGCACCTTTCAAGGAAACAGATGAGTTTACTTCTCGTCGCTCAATGCTGACCCCAACCATGGATGGAGAAGTGGACATTGATGACATAGTGGATCACAGGGAGCTGCCAGTCCCGAGACCCACAGGCAGGGGACGTCCTCCGAAGCCGAAGCTGCAGTACCGCGTTCGGTTTCGTCATCATACTGATCCAAAGGAGGACCGCTGGTTCACCCGGGAGGAACTCATGCAGACCGCTCCTCGGAGGAACTCATGCAGACTCATGCAGCTGGTTCACCCGGGAGGAACTCATGCAGACTCATGCAGTCGTAGCACAGTACGAGAAATCTCTGCAGAAGGGAAAGCGCCAGGTTATCTAAGACTGAACTTCTCAGAGGACTATTGAAGTTATGGAGGAGAGAATGTGAGGCTGAAGCCCCGATGAGCCCCTTTCAGGCCCTGCCATGCAGCACGTCGGCCGCCCTAAGTGAAGGCAGGCTCGACGAGGGCCTGAGGGCCCCTATTTTGGTCACCACGGAACTCAGGAAATTCAGGCAGTTGCGCAGCGCCAGTCGGTTGGAGGAACCCACACCCTGGGCAGCCTGTTTGAATGTATCGAAGACTGGCCCAGGG